ACTCTCTTTTGTTTTTTGTTTTTAATACTTTTATAATTACAGTGTAACGAAAAGGGAGTGGAAAAATCACCACCCATAATTATCCGTTTAACAATAAAACATGTCAAGTCATGGAGTGGAAAAATCACCACCCTAAATTGATTCATTGTTTGTTGAAATTCAAACGTGTTTAGTACACAAAATTCATTTCTATATTAACGATGCCCAAAAAAAAAAAATTTGTCAAAGGAAAAGATTTCATTACCAAATTATATCGACTGTTGCAACACGTGTGAAGATCTTTTCGTTAACTTGACTTTTTCCAGGTGCGTGCAATATTTTCTCAGTCCGAGTTCATGCATATGTGAAGTGGTTTTTTGTTTTTTTGTTTTTTCCTTCTTTTGGTTGTAAAATATCACCAATTATGTGGTGGTTTACTTGTGACCAATAGGTAATATTTTATTAGTTAATTTCTTTAAAATTGGGGAATTTAAGGGTAGCATCCAAGTAACTTTTATATAAAAAGAAGTCTAGAGATAAAGAAAAGACACTCTTTTTTTTATTTTTTTGTTTAGAACTGTATGGGTGGGAGAAATGTAAATTTGTTATTTTTATTCTAATTTTTAAGTTTGTTCTCTTCATTTTACCCTCATTTAATAATTCATTTTTCTTTTAAAATTTTAGCTAAGCAAGGCATTTGTTGGAAGAGATTTTCTATTTAAACTTCACACTTCTCTGTGTTCATCTCATGTTCTAAGTTCACTCTAACTTCAAATTTAAATTTTCACAATTTCTAATAAAACTCCACTATCTTCCCAAACTACCCTTAAATGCACCCCAAGCATAAGAAATAAAAGAGTTTTTCTATTTAAACCTCATACTTTTCTTTGTTCACTCAAATACTTAAATTATTAAACAATATTTGAAGTATACATGAGATTTTGTTGTTTTCACAAAGCTGTTTTTATCATGTGATTAGATCATATGGAAAATTGTAGTTTGTTTGGTTTTGTTTTGTGATGACAGTTAAAACCAATGACGACAACATCTTATTTTATATTTTATTCAATGGAAAAATGTCAATTATCAAACATTGTTAAACCAACCCTTGTATCAAACTCAACGCATATTATCAAATCATCTTATTTGCATAATGTGGCTTATTTTAATTGCTTAATAAAAAGGTTAACTAGAGGTGTGTGGTAGGGTTCGAACTTCAGACCACTGATATGCAAGTTAAGACCTTTTTTTATTGGACTAGACTCTATTAGCAAAGGATACTTCATGTTTAAAACTTTATAAAAGTTTACAAAACCTAATAGGTCGGATGAAAATAAAACTATTGTGACAAAACATCTAATAGTGAGAGATCAATATACATCAAGATGTACATTAATTGAATTGATAAGCTCTTTCCAATTGTCAGTGTGATCTCGATATGGACTATACCAATCAAATACTTTGAGGTTGGAACTGTTTAGTTGTGTCCAAAATACTTTCTATTCTGGTACCATGGCTTGGAGTAAAAGTATTTTGTTGTTGCCACAAAAACAAAAAAAAAAAAAAAAAAAAAAAAACCGAAAAAATTAAGGATTATTATGCTATAGACCACATTAGAATTCCAAGAGATTGCTTTGATCCATTACAGTAATTCAATAAATTTCTGGTTGTCTTTTGTGTACAATAATTCAATAAAATTAGATGCATGTGTTGAGCAACAACTTGAGTACAAATAGTTTTATCAGAATTCAGAAATAATATTGCATGAGAGAATATACTCTGGCACAGGCAGCTCTGCATTCTCCAATAGACATTCCGTATGTCATTTATCCAATAGACAAACACTACAAACTATAGAAAAAAATCATATATCTAAACTGAATAGTGGGGAAAAAGATGAAGAAGGCACCTATTTTTTGAGAAGAAGATGAAGGTCCCTATGTTTGCCGCAAGACAGACGGACTCGCTAACTATTACAGTATATCGTTTACTGTCGATGGAAAGAGATCCTAGATCAAATAAAGATTTCTAAATTAGAAATTAAATGGGGAGATATTTATTGCATTGTAGACAAGAAGGTGCAATTTACCTTGGCAAGACCAAATTTCACTTACACAAAGGTACAATAATCATCTACTGTTTACTTTTGAGCATATAAGAAGTTAAGTAAATATAAAATTTTAAATCAAAAATCAAGAAAACCAAGCAATCAACGAAGGGAAGAGAATAAGATCATTATAGCCAAGCAATCAACAAGCCTTTCCATTAGGTCCTACGTAGATTTTAAAGAAGTAGACTCCTCAATGTTCTACATCGTTAAAAGAGAAGAGTAATTGGGCAATATGATTAAGAGGAGTTTGTATTTTTCTAAAACTTAATATGAAGAGTGGTGGGGTGTGTGTATAGATGTATTAGGGTTAAGTATTAAGTTGGATTACCGTTTTTGTCCTTTTACACAATTATAAAACTTACAGCTTAATAATTTAAGTATTGGGGTGAATAAAGAAAAGTGTGAGGTTTAAATAGAAAATATCTCGTTGAAATAACTTTTGACAAATAGATGAAGACTTATGTTGCATAAAGTTAAGCACGGGATTGACCCAAAAAACAGTTGAGCACATGTGAGCGATTTTTCAAATTAATATATTTATCATTAATGTATGCGTGACTCGTATTTCATCAACAATCAAAGATTTCTTAAGCACTCTCTCTTACGTACTTACCTTCACAAAACCTTTTGTAAAAGTAACACAAAATTTGCACTCTTTTATTCACGTGGAGCTAGAAGTTTCTTCTTTTGGCTATAAAATAATTGGGAGGGATCAAATATAAAACACAAATAATATTATATATCAACTTATCTAAACCAAGGTCACACACATCGCCCACGGGTTTAGTAATAGATTAGATGCTGGCCTTCACATTTGACCATGTTCCAATTACTTATTTACAAATTTATAAATAAACCCAATTTTAGACATGTATTTATAAAAAAACCCAAGCACTATTTAAACATAGAAACACACCCAAAATCAACTCCAAAGTCAACTTTTTGGGTGTGTTTATAAATGGGTTTTGAGTGTGTGTAATGATGGGTTTTGGGTGTGTTTATAAAGTGTTTTGGGTGTTGGGTTTTTTTATAATTTCAACCTCCATTATGGGTGTTTTAGTGAAACTCCTTATTTATTCTAGTAATCAGTCGCTTCTTTTAACAATAAAAAAGAACAAGACAAAAAATGGCAAAGCTTGAAAAGTTGGAACCTTGCCACAACTTTTGAGAGTTAAAATTCCTGAATTTTGGGTTAGATCGATCAAACCATTAGGTGTATGTAGATTTGTACGCATAATCTTTGTTACTCTAGTTTTTTTTAATTTAAAAAAAAAGACATTCCTCATCAAATACTTGTATATTTTGTTTAATAATTTTCCCAGATGTTAAGAGTGTAGCATTTTTTTCGTTAAAAATCTGATAGCCAAGATTTTCGTGCACAAAAAGGAAGGGGACATGAGAATAAATAGTAATTTTATTTTTTTAAAGACACAATTGGATAAAAAAATTTATCAAAAAACTCGAGACTCAAATATTAAATTTGAAACATAAGTATATTTTGTTGGTTATAATTAGATGTCAAAATGATTTTCAATTTGTTTAATTTTTGGAAGAATGATATATGGATAAAGACTTGAAAAATAAATGGTTTGGATTGTTGAAAATAAAATTTGTTGGACCAAACGTGTCCCTTAACTAATTATTTGAAGCTATTATGATCATTGATATCCTCCATTTCCACACAATAACCCCCAAACTACATTCTAGAAGCAACACGATACCTCTAGAGGCCAAATGGCACCGTGTCACTTGATCCGAGTCATTCTATAGTGAGGATCTAAGAGCATCCAACATGGTTCAATAATTCAATATAATGAACTATTTTTGGATCTATTGAATTGAACTACAGTTTTACTTGCAATGGTACAATTCAATAGCTTCAAAACTAGGACTCTGAAAAGAACAGATTGTACTACAGGCTGAGACCTCGTGAGGTGGAATGAGAACCCCCATATTTCCATTCAATTTACATACTCAAATAACATAATGAGATATTTAGTGATATACCAATTCTTAGCACTAATATTATAGATAAACCATACACCATTGAATTTCTATAAACCAACCCAAAAAAAATCCAAAAAATGATAGCATACCTTATTGAATTTAATATTGAATTACTTTAAAACTAAAACTCCCAATATTAAATTACTTTGATGCCCTATTGAGTGTTTTGGGTATTTTATAAGATTTTGGGATTGGGCTTGTGCTTGTTTTAAGAAATTGATGGTAATTTTGTAATTTATAAGAAGTTAAAAGTTTCTTTGTTATGTTGTAAATGAGCTTTGGGTGTATTTCTAAAGTCTATTTCATATGAGATACTTTTATAATTTGGGATTCTATATTGAGTATAATAGTGAATCTCTCTAAAATAAATTAGAGAAATTAAATAACATTAAAAAATTTACCATTTAAATACTCTCAAATAGATTTTTAAAAAGAGACCAATTTTAAATATTATTTGAAAAAAAATTAATTGCTATATTTTTTGGAAAAAATCTTGCTTCTGCATGCAAGTCTTTGGTCGCGGGGCCCTCACTAGAAAATTCTTGCACTTGACCCTTGCACGCTCATTTCTCTTGGGCTCATCTCCTTCTTTTTGTAACATCCCACGTTAATCAACGGAGAGGAGGTAATGTGCATTATGTGTATATGCCCATCTTCATCTAGCACGAGGTTTTTTTGGGAGTTTATTAGCTTCGGAGTCATGAGAACTCCGAAGTTAAGCCAGTGACCCACTGAAAAGTTGCTCGTGAGTTTTCAGAAATAAAACCGTGAGATAGAGACAGGGGCTCGTGAGTTCCTAGAAACTGAGGGCAGAGAGGGGGCCCACACCGTGACATTACTATATATCCAAACTCAAACCCCGAGTCCTCCCAAAAAGCTCTTCTCCTTCTCCATCTCAGCAGCAATGGCTGGTGCTTCTCCTGCTAAGAAGGTAATGACCACCACTATTCAGCTCTTTTTCTGATTTCGACTATTTTGCGTGTTTTTGTGTGTGTGTTTGTAAGAGTGAGTTTGAGTGTGAAAGTGGAAGCAGGTTTTGGTTCCGATTGCAAATGCCACGGAGCGGATTGAGGCGGTGATCATCATCGACGTTCTGCGTAGAGCTGGAGCAGATGTTACTGTGGCTTCTGTGGAGAAGCAGCTTCGCGTTGAAGCCTGCAATGGCGTGATCATCGCTGATGTTTTGATTTCCGATTGTAGAAAAAGCGTCTTCGATCTCATCACTCTACCCGTACATTCTCTCTCTCTCTCTCTCTCTCTCTCTCTCTCTCTATATATATATATATGTATGTATCATTGTGTTTGTTTTAGAACTTTGAATTTTGCAGCTTGTTTGGTTGCTGACAAAAGTAGACATGAAAATGAAAATTTCTGCTAATATTACTTATTACTTCTCCACAAAACAAGAAAACACAAGAATATTGTGGAATAAAATTGGGATTTTTGAGTTTGTAGTTCGCGATTGAGAGCAGATAAAAGTGAGTTTTGTTGAGTGTAGGTTTTTGGTTGCTCATGCCCATTGACCTTAGATATATGCATAAGATTACATATGTTGCTTAATGGCACTAATTTATTTTCCGAGCAATGTCCCAATGCACGCTCAACTGCCAATTAAAGGGATGTTTTCGTGTAACTTTGATGTCATCCATAACATATCAGGGTTGGAGGAACTCTTATTATCTTCGTTTGCTTGTATTATTCCCTCTCTCCAGCTTCTCTTATTGTGCTTTATTGCTTGCTTATTGCAATGTGCTGACTCCTCTTCAGTTTCGCTCCAACTGAATTTGAATTTATCTATTTTATTTTTTTTGTGCTACAGGGAGGTGTTCTAGGTGCTGCCAATCTTAAGAATAATGAGGTTCTGGAAAGCTTGGTGAAGAAGCAGGCCGCAGATGGGAAGCCCTATGCGGCGATCTGTGCTTCACCTGCAATGGCATTTGGACCATGGGGTGTGTTGAAAGGACTGAAAGTAAGATCTCTTAGCACGCACCTGCCAATATTTCATTATTTGTCGTGTATGCATATTTAAATTATAAATTGCATTGGTTTTTGACAGGCAACTGGCCATCCATTATATATGGAGCAATTAGCATCTAGCGCAATCGCTGTTGAATCAAGAGTGCAGGTGGATGGCAAAGCTGTGACTAGTCGTGGACCGGGTACTGCCATGGAGTTTGCTGTTGCGCTGGTTGAGCAATTGTATGGGAAAGAAAAAGCTGATGAAATATCTGAGCTCGTGGTATATACTTTCTCAATATCCTTCTTTTTGGCTGGTTGTCATATTCTACTGGTGGATTTCTTGTCAATTGATTTCAAAGCTATTCGTTGTCTGGGAAAATGAAAATAAATATGATCTGCTATGATCTCAGTTTCACCTGTTTCCTTTGGGCTTGTGATGCGTGTGTAACAGTATTTTTTGTACTCAGGTCATGCGTTCCAACCACGGGGATGAATACATCATAACTGAGCTAAACCCAGTTGAGTGGACTCCCAATGATTCCCCAAAGGTGAACATTTGATTTACATATGCAAATTTGCCTAAGATTATTTCAGGTTTCCACAAGTTACCTATGAATTGAGAGTGGTAGTAAAAATTTCGCAAATGAACAACGATAATTTGTGGCATGACAGTAAGAATTATTGACTTGACTTAAGGTGCTATATAATGTAGTGTATAAACTCTGTCGTGTGTGTTATCCTTTAGATTCTTGTACCTATTGCAAATGGCACAGAGGAAATGGAAGCTGTTATGATAATTGATATTCTACGACAAGCGAAAGCAAATGTTGTGGTGGCCTCTGTAGAGGATCAACTAGAAATTGTTGCTTCTTGCGAAGTTAAACTGGAGGCAGATGTGCTCCTTGACGAAGCTGCCAAACTTTCATATGACCTAATTGTTTTGCCTGTAAGTAGGGTTTCCAGCTCGCTGCTGTTTACTATTTACCAATTGATCAGACTAACCCTATTGTTTTTTCTTTTTTTTTTCTTTCAGGGTGGACTTGGTAGTGCCCCAACATTTGCAAAATCAGAAAAGCTCGTGAATATGTTAAAAAAGCAGAGGGATTCACAGAGACCTTATGGAGCGATATGTGCCTCCCCAGCTGTAGTTTTGGAACCCCATGGCTTACTCAAGGTATCCCCTATAAAATGTTTTGAGAACTAACCATTATGCTTCTTGCATTGTACAAACTCATCACGAGAACTTATTTTATTTTCCTTTCAATCCAGGGGAAAAAGGCCACAGCGTTCCCCGCAATGTGCGACAAGCTGTCAGATAAAAGTGAAATCGAGAACAGGGTAGTGGTTGATGGCAACCTCATCACCAGCAGAGCACCAGGAACTTCCATGGAGTTTGCTCTAGGAATTGTTGAGAAGTTTTTGGGGCGCAAGGAAGCAATAGAGAGTGCGAAAATAATGGTTTTCGTTCATCCTTAGAGTTTATATTCACGTATAATGTGTATGTCCCTACTTTCAGGACACTACTAGCCAAAGCGGAATGCTGGATTCATCTCTGAGTATGAATCCTTTGTGAGGTTATGTGCAAGATTTTGTATATAAATAAATGTGTAAACGACTGAATTATGATAATGCTATGGTTAGTATCTATAATTTCAGTGTCTATAAAAGAGTTTACTTTTCATATTAATTTTTGTTTCTTTTTAAACAAAAGTACAGCTAACCTTAGCCAAACAGCACTTCTGTTCTGTACAAGGAAAAAGGGAATGTCTATTTTAGCATACAGTCCAGACGTGAATGGTGTTTTTGGGCCTAAGGCAGTAGAGCAATGTCTTTAGCAGTAGGATTATGTATTTTTCTTCTTCTTTTCTTTCTAATATTTACTTGAACTAATTGGCATTAGAATTACAAAGAAAGTGTCTGCTAAGTGCCAATCTCCTCAAAAACACAAATTAAAAATTCAAGAACTTGATGTATTGAGTTGAAATTATCAAAGAAAGTGGCTGCTATGTGCCCATCTCCTCACATAGGAGGATAATGAAAAAAAAATCCATTTATAAGACGCGAGACAAGTTTGCTTTCATTTGAAAGGAATAATACAATATTTGAGGAATGTTCTGTAATTGGACAACTTGACATGTTTTCTGACAGACTTTACATTGTATTAAGCATCCCTTTTTTTTGGTTTTTAGGACATTTTCTATTGAAAGATGTGATAATATATTAAACTCACACACATTACACGGATATTAGGATTCGAGTCCAGGACCTTTTCTAGAGAAACAATTGCTCCAAACCACTACACTAGTAGGTTCTTTACTATTAAGCGTCAATTTAATTAATGGTTTAACAATAAAATGTGTTAAACTATCTAGTCACGGAATGTTGCAAAAATAATTTTAATAATGTAAATAAAGAAGATGTCATGGTGTTTTGAAATAACAAAAGTATCCTAGATGATAGCTACCTAGTTGTGAGTTGTTTAAAAGTTTTTAGTTTAAACTAAGCAACCCAGTTGTGACCAAACAACAAAAAACAAAGAAACCAAAAAGCAATCCAATCAATCTTATTTATTTAATTTATTTTGTGATTAAATTGATGTTAAATTGTATGTTGAAATTCACACATATTTAGTACATAATAATATCATTTCAAATATTTTTTTTTTTTTTTTTTTTTTTTTTTTTTTTTTTTTTTTTTTCCAAAGGAAATGAACATTTCATTACCACACTTATAACGACATTTGTAATATGGGAATCATTTTTGCTCATCACTTTAATTTAAGGTGTACCATCGTTATCATTCTCAATACTTGAGACATATCAATAGGCATAATTATAGTTAACTATTTGCTTTGTATTTATAAAACTATGAACATACGTCAAATGTTGAGAAAAATAATAATGATACACATTAAGTTAAAGCAGTGAGTAAAATACACATTAGAAATTTTTTCGTACTCTCTTACGCTTTCGCTTTCACAAAATCTTTTGTAAAATTAACACTATTTACAAAAATTTTACTCTTATTCATGTGGAGCTAGAAGTTTCATTTTTCCAACAAAAGAAATAGAGGGATGAAATATAAAACAAAAATAATATATATCAACACTATATATGCTCACCTCTATGGAGAATATTAGAGGAGAGAGGCACTGTTATCCCCATTGCTCACCTCTTTCTTTATCCCTCACAATCAAAATTTCAAACCACTTTTGTCCTCCATTGTTTATGGCGCCTACGACTAATCTAAACCAAGGATTGCTAATTACAAACGAAGAAATGATTAGATGCCGACCTTCACTTTTGACCATGTTATTTCTTGGAGTAATCATTCACTTCTTTTGACAATTACCAAAAAGAAAAAAAAGGGCGAAGCTTGAGAAGTTGGAACCTTGCCTAATCTTTTGAGAATTGAAATTCCTGATTTTTTGGTTAGGTCGATCAGACCCTTAAGTGTATGTAGATCTGTTCGCATAACTTGTTACTCAAGTTATAAATAAAAAAAAGACGTTCCTCATCAAATACTTGTATTTAGTTTAATAATTTTCCCATAAGTACTTAATTTCATATATAATTAAGCTGTCAAGAGCGGCGTTTTTATTATTATTATTCAGAATCTCTTTGGACGATTCAAAAAAAATGGAGGGGACATGAGAATGAATAGTAATGTTATTTTTTTAAAGATAAAATTGGATAACAAATTTATCAAAAAACTCGAGACTAACATACTAAATTATATATATATATATTTCTTTGGTCACAATTAATAATTTTTTATTTGTCTAATTTTTTTTTTTTTTTTTTTTTTTTTTTTAGAATGGTCTACGGATAAATACTTGAAAAATAGACGACTTGGATGGTTAAAAAAATGGACCCTTAACTAATTATTTGAGGGATCCTAAATAAAGTTATATATATATAATATAGTTGAGGAATTCCTTAAATAAGCTTATTTGATGGACACTATTGTGGGGCCGTCCACATTGTATTTTTTTTAATCCAAACCGTCTATTTTTTAGATATTTATGGAAAGATCATCCCTCAAAAAATACTTTAATCCGAAATTATTTGACCACTTAATTGATGATTATAGTCTAAGTGTTTTCTTTAACCACTAGGATCGTGGATTTTGTTGATCACAATTAAATATTTTAATGGTTTCATTTTGCTAATTTTTGATAGGAATGAGCTTTAAATGAAAACCTAAAAAAATATACAATTCGGATTGTTGAAATAAAATTTGTGTCAGACCCTACAAGGTTTAAGAATTGAAGGGTAAGAATTGAAAAATGGAAGCCGCAGTTATTGTCACTTTAATTCGTGTAGTTAAATTAAATCACAGAACTATGTCGGCAAATGCCAACTCTATGCACAAATTAATAAACTAACATCAAGTTGGTATAAAAATTCTTCCTTATCTTCAGTTAGAGCTTGGATGCTTTGATGCATTTCTAAAGACGATCATGACCGAGCGAGGAGATCGTGAGTCGTGACTGGTGGGTCTGATGACTTCAGTGCCCAGGCCACATTTATTTTCTTTTTTATTTTCCTCCTTCAAATAAATTGACTTTTCAACTTTCTATTTTTTATTTTTTATTTATCTGAATTTTAATTTAAAGACTGTTCTTTTTTAATTAGCAAAAGATCAAGTGCTTGTTTGGTATTACTTATTTAGGGTGATAAGTGATTTTTAAAAAATTTGGGAAACCTAGCTCGTTTAGTAAACCATGATAAAATCACTTATTGTTAAAAATTGCTGTGAGAGAAAGCTATAAGAGATGTGTTTTTATTTTCTGATTATAAAGGAATCTGTTTTGAAGAAACGTTTGGTTTAATAATTATGCGGGAATTATTACCAACGACATTTTTAACAAAAAGTTTACCAAATGCCAAACTGCTTTCTTTCACAATTGATTTCTCTCACATCAAATCTGACAATGATTATTTTTAAAGCAAAGCAATGCCAAGAAAAAACCAAGAGGATGGATGGTGAACAAAGACATATTCAAACTGCCGTCTGATCTGCAAACTGAGATTCCAGTAGGTTATTTTGGGCTACTAGGCTTATTAATATATAAAAAAAATTAATAATTTTTTGTATTTGGTTTTCCAATTTTATTCTAATCTTGCAGTTAATTTTTTTTAAAAAAATTTTAAGTTCATAACAAAGAAACTGAACAAAGACATGATTAATTATACAATATCTCTTTCATTTCTTCTCACCTATGTTCATCTCTCATTTTCTAGTCTCATTTCTACGTCGTCCTTCTCCGTTTCCCATGTATTTTTCTTTAATTTCTTTAATGAAAACTAAAACACAAACCTTACCAAACAAAATAAGATTATACAGTCAACCCTATACCTTCGTATTTCTAGTGCATTTGTATATAGGTCCTTAGTCTACCTCGAAACATAAATTAATTTTCCATATACGAGTCCTACTCGTGATTTGTACGTCTTGGTATCTTCCTGAGTTTGTTGATTCTTCGAAGGGAATATACGAACCTTACGTTCACACCGTACACACACGTACATATTTTCTTGACCCATCTTTGTTTTTTTTCTGTGTTGGAAATCTTGACCTATCTTGTTGAATGGTTAATGGTATGTTGGGACAATGTCTAAGACATGATTGATTATATTTATACAGCGTAAACTAATCAGCTTTCTAAATCTTTGCCGTTTATATATATAATTGCTTTTCTGGATCCAGTTGTTAAGATATAATACTGTATGCATGGAGAATATGAATGTTAAATTTCTAACCAATCTAAAATCTCTAACTATTTCATCTATCAAGTGATCTTACTCCTATATGTGTATATGTCATACTTTCATTGAATTCAAATAAGATTAACTTTCAAAATATGATGTATTAATTTCAATAAAAAAAAGTAAGATAATTATATTTTAAGTGGTTAAGAGAAATCATTTATGTTCTGTATTCTCTCGTCTCGATATGACTTTTATAAATGAAAGAGACATGTTCAATAAAAAATTTGAAGGAATGAGCAATTTTTGTATTTTCTATTTTCTATTATAATTAAGAAATAAAAACTTGGAATTTGCAGGCCTCAAGTATTGTTTAATTTCTCTGTTAGGCATCCGTTTCATCCCCGAAAAAGAAAAGTAAAAAAAATAAAATCTTGTTTGAGCTTTTAAGCATATTGACTTGTGAGTTATGAGTTGTGTAATTGGAAGTTTCCTTTAAAGCATAAAAAAGAAAAGGAAATTCCAAAATCCATAGTAGTCCCATTCCAGACCTTGCACGGCATGACAAAGGAGAAAAGTCAATTCCAAATCACAGAAAGCTGTTTTTATTTTTTTAATTATCCAAATTATTTTTGATTTAGACAGTTTAAAAAAAAAGAAAAAAAAAAAAAGAAGCAGAAAGCGAAACACAGCAGTACGAGACGACTATTAACTGCAGCTCTGAACGGAAAGCCATAATATTTTCATCTTCCTCCTCTCTTCTCTCTTTCCCTTCGTTTGTGCTGCAATCACCACAAGTGAGGTTCTTCATGTTTGAATTATCTTGTATTCTATCTGGGTTTTACCTGTACCTTTGATGTCTGGTAGCTGAGAGAATGTAATAAAAGCTTACCTTTGATCTACCCATTGGAAATAAAAGAAGAAAAAGACTTTGGATCTGTTTCTGGCCTCTTGGTGCTTAAGACCAAAAGAATGGTGTGTTTTTCTTATATAGTTGTTATACTTCTGAGTAAATGAGTTTTAGTTATTTTGATTCAATCAATGAAAAGCTCATAGTTTGACTAATCCAAGTACTTGAATTATGTTGGCATTAGCTTCTGTGCAAAAGGACACTTCAAGGTGGAAATATAGCAAAACCCAGGTTCAATTCCATCGGAAAGTTATAAAGGTAATATTCAAGAAACTTATTCATAACCATCATCATCATCTTAATCTTCATTTTCAATTTTGGTGCCTCCTAGATTGATTTATAAGATTTACAGTTGCTCAAACCCATAAATCTCTTCCATTTCTTCAATAATTTCTCTTTTAAATTGCTCCAGAATTATTTTTGTCTTATAATTGAGTTCAATGAGAATTAGAGTGATAGTTCTATTACGAAAATCAAATTTCATGAACTTAAAGGTCTAAGTATTGATATTAGATTGACCTGATGTATTACAGAACTGAACTTGATGGATCTTAAAGGACATTAGATTCTATGCTGTTACTAGGCTGCATTTCCAGACCTTACTGTTACTGGTTGTCCTTGTAATGTTTCCCCTTAACTTATAGATTCTGGCATATAGATTTTAATTTTAATTTTGCTTTTCGTGCCTCAAGTATGGAACGCTAAATTTTCAAAAGACAGGCATAGGCTATAGTCAAAACTTAAAATGTGCTATGGATAGATGCACAAACTATTCTTTATCTTTTATGATTATTTATCGAGGTTGTTTCCTATTGGAAAAAGACCCTTTTTGAACATTTTTTATCTCTTATATACATATGGTAAGGACTATAAGCTAACTACTAAAAAATTAAGTCAAGACTTGTATACGGAAACTACAGTGTGTTTGAGGAGAATGATTTCAGGTAAATATGCGGCTATTGCATATGCAAACATCTTCAATTATTATTGAGGATGAGATTCTGCGGGCTGTCATCTTTCTATTCGAGTTCCTAGGTAGTACATGTTGATTAAAGAGGCCACGTAAATGTGCAGTTCAGATTTCTAAGCTTTGATTTTTAGGGTGTCTTCTTGTTGAAGTCAATGACTAATGCATTTCTCATCAGACAGTAGTAGTTACACGCTGAGAAGATTATGTTTACTTGTGTGCTTTGACAGGGCAAGGATTTTGATTGGTTGGTGATACTGGTCAACATAAAAAGCTGGTGATGACTTGTTTCTCTTTCTTTTTTAGGAAGAAGGCAGCTTCCTCAGTTACAAGGACTGTTGAACTTGATGAAGGTACTGTGGATGTCTTTATTCTGCTGTTCCTTTATTCAATTGTGAACATACTTTCTGTGTCAATGTTAGTTGCTTTGGCACAATGCCAGCTGTCAAATTAGCTGCTCACTGCATTTGTGAAATAGATGACTTTTCTAAGTCATACATAGATCTACCAAATCAGGTGGAGCTTTTTTCTGTGCTAAGTGATTTCATTATATTAATGTTAGTTACTGATTTTTATAAACCGATAATCTGAAGCATGAATGGAATCACCTTTATTCCGAAGAGTTCTAAGTTTGCTGCTATTCGAAGCCTATTTTATCAATTTGCTTCCATCCAGATAAATTGTTCTCTTTCAACTCTTTTTATTGATGACCGGGCCTCTTTTCAGAATCTTGAGAACCCTGGCCTTCTCAGCTGGTCACATGGTCATGCTAAATGGACTGTGATACTTAATTTTGAGTCTGCAGATTGCTTTCTATTTTACTAGATTTTGCTTGATCTTGGGTTAAGGTGTGCCTGTTTTGGCCGTTCTCTTGAATAACTTTAGTACAATGGCACAAATGATTAGTTTTGCTTACTTTCTTCACAATGTATGCACTCAAGATTTTTGATGCAGTCTCGTTTTGTTTACTTTGATTCTATTGCACAAAACTTTGTTAATAAGTCCTTGGCGTTTAACTTAAATTTGGATGTCAGCATTTTCAACAAAAAGGAACCTCGCTTCTTTCAGAGGTTTAGCATTGTATCTTTATCCTACCTAAAAGCTTCTAACAGGGTCCTCTGGGTACAGTGGTTTCAGGCATTTTAAATGTTACTGTGTACACTTACAAGGAACTGCGAATTGCCACTGAGAACTTCAGTGAAGAAAATAAAATTGGTCAGGGAGGCTTTGGCTCCGTGTACAAGGTAACTGCCCTTAGAAAGATATTGCTGATGACCTTTGTGGAATACTTGGTCATGAGCACTTGATTGTGCTAAAGACTTTTTGCTGACGTTTACCTCTACAGGCTGACAGATATTTGTAAAATGTGTTTGATCAGGGAACACTTAAGAATGGCACTTTGGCAGCTATAAAGGTATTGTCAGCAGAGTCTAGGCAAGGGTCCCGGGAATTTTTGACAGAAATCGAGGTGATTGCGAACATTGAGCATGATAACCTGGTTAAGCTATATGGTTGCTGTGCAGAAGGCAATCATAGGATATTGGTTTACGGCTATCTCGAGAATAATAGCCTTGCACAAACACTTCTTGGCAAGTAATATTACTTAGTTCTTATTTGAATAAATTAATTGTGTGAGTAATGACTTACTCTCTCTGTACTTTATAGGTGGAGGCCACAGTAGTATCCAGTTTAGTTGGTCTGCAAGGTGTAAAATATGCATTGGTGTTGCAAGGGGGCTTGCTTTTCTCCATGAGGAAGTTCAGCCCCATATTATTCACAGAGACATTAAAGCTAGCAATATTCTCCTTGATAAAGACCTCTCACCAAAAATTTCAGATTTCGGTCTGGCAAAGTTTATTGCACCCAACTTAACTCATGTTAGCACTCGTGTTGCTGGAACAGCGTAAGTTTTCCAGTTCCAGTTCTACTCTTTTTCAATGTGTTTAAATTTACAGTGGCCATCAGCAAGGGAATGGATGATTGTGGGCCTCAGTCGATTGTAAAGATATAATGTAAAAATTATAGTTTGAAATGTAATGACCAAAAAACAAAATCTATTGTGCTAGTGAAATGTTTGGTATGGGCTGCATGGTGTTCTATGTCAGTCAACAGCGATTTGTTCATGTTGAAGGTTGTTGGAACGTGAATGCAGCCCTAAATTCTGGTTTAAACATTATCATAGATGTCTTCAAATATGTGACCATGATCAGATAATTATACAAATTGACCTTTGAAGTCTTGCCCATAAATTTTCACTAAACTTTTTATCTCCTTTTCTTTTCACTATTACCAGATTACTTGTGATTATGTTGACATACTTGGTTCCCTGTTTGATTTTTGCAGAGGTTACTTGGCACCTGAGTACGCCATACGAGGTCAAGTGACAAGGAAAGCAGACGTCTACAGTTTTGGTGTTCTGACCTTGGAAATTATTTGCGGGAGGTGCAACACAAACAGACGATTACCATTAAAAGAACAATATCTTCTTCCAATGGTATGAACCTTTCTGAAATATTGTATAATTCTATGAATTAGTATTTGCTTTCATGACTAAATTGAACCCTTTCGACTGGCTTATAGATTTTACTTATATAAGATTTATTACATTAACATGTGCGGGAATGATGATCCTTGATGAACCTAGTGTGTGAACTTTTTGACCAAATACTTGAAGTGCTACTAAGCATGAATATTCAGTTCAACTTCACATTCATCTACAAACAGGGTATATTTTACCCAGTAAACTTCCGCATTTCTTTAGATGTACATTCATCTACAAACAGGGATTGTATTTTACCCTATAAACTTCTGCACTTCTTATTCTAGATGTGCAACTTCACATTCATCTACAAACAGGGCTTATATTTTACCCTGTAAACTTCTGCATATTTTATTTTAGATAGCTTTGTGCCCCAGCTCCCCCTCACTGAAACAGTTGCCTCTTTGTGACTGTATCATGTATTCTCTTAAGATTGCTCTTACAGTTGTAGGAGAGAGCAAAAATTAAATTTCTGATTTTCTATTGAAGATGTATTTCCTTTCATAGTGTTAGAATCCTCGAAAGAAAACAGTATAAGAAAGACTAGGCATTTACTCTGTAGTTAAGGTGCACTAGCCTTGCAAGAAAGCTTGCGAATTTCTTGGCCAGCAGCAATGATAAAACTGATGTTAACAACTTTATGGCAATTCTTTTGCTGATTAATGGCACTATAGCACATGTAAAAGAATTGTCATGATCACAATCTTATAACTTTCAAAATTCTTTTGATGGATCTCTTTTTCCCCACCAAATTCTGGATAGTTATATAACCTGGATATTCTAGCTTTCTTCCTTATAATTATTTTAGTTCATCAGAACCGTTTTTTATATAAAATTGTTAATTGACTCAAAACATCATAGATTGACTTGATAGCTAATTACTTTCCTTCAATTTGTGGGGTATCAATATTATTACTAGAACTTGGTTCTGAGACTATGTGACATGTTTGTTCATGACTGCACCAGAGCCTCTTGATGAATCCATCAAGCTTCTTTAGGTGCTTATTTTTAGTGAAAACCCTTTACGTTAATGATCTCTATTAGCTATGAAATGGTTGATAATTTTGCAATTTGATAGAATTACTACTAGAATCTTGAGAAGACTTATCAAATAAACGTTTGTGTTGCAGGTATGGGAGCACCATGAGAGGGAGCAGCTGGTGGAGTTAGTAGACACAGCATTGAATGGAATATTCAATGTTGAGGAGGCTTGCAGATTCCTAAAGATTGGTCTTCTCTGCACTCAAGACATGCCCAAGCTCCGACCATCCATGTCTACTGTTGTTGAGATGCTGACAGGTGAAAGAGATGTGAATGAGGAGAAGATATCCAAACCAGGACTGCTTTCTGAATTCATGGATCAGACAGAAGGCCACAGAGATAAGGCCAATGCAAGACCTTCATCTGATACAGTATCTGCCTCAGGGAGGTTTATCAATACATCATCTTCATCAGAAAACATAGCTACTTCATTTGCTACTATGACCTTCAATTCTATATATGACCGAAGCAATTAGGGCAGGCAGAATCTCTTTTTGGTTATTGTCTGGTGTGGCCAAGCAGTCAGCATATTAATTCTTCTAGGTTAATATCATTTTTTGCTTGGGTATGTCTTGAGTGCATTGGCACACCTGTTAGGGGAACAAGTAGTAATATGCTATGAAAGAATACTTTTGTAGGGCTACAGTCGGTGTAAATGTTTATAATCAATGAACTTTTTCTTTTCCTGCTTTGTGAAGAAAGTTTGACTATATGAACAATCCTTCCACCCCTTTCTTCAGTTCCAGGCATTGTGTGTAGACAGGGCCTCATTTTCATTCGCATTAATCATTTTCTTTCCAAGTTTTACCCGGCTTGAACTGCACTCCGAAATAAGCTTCCTACACTCTTTGTAAACTCAGGCACGAGGAGTGCATGAGGCTTACTCAAATTGGAATTTGTTCTAGCTACAAATGGAAATCAGGTCATAGTTGACCAGCAAAGGGGCATTGGAGCCTTCTCATGGCAGCATCTATTTGTGACAGAATCATTTCTCAGCTAAGTTAAATTATTTAATTATATATGATGATGAAGTAATTTTTTGGGTAAGGTGGCATGCCAACTTCAGCTAAGTTTCTTGATTTATGGTGCACACGTCTTCAGAAATGGTTATTCTCTTCACTGGATAATAGAACTGTTGATGAACATTGAAATGGAATCAAGATCATACAACTTTGATGAATTCTGTCTAATCTGATTCCGCTTGAATTCGGATGCGTGGTACGAAATTATGAGGAATCAGGATATTTTGAAAGCATGCGAAAATCAAAATTTTAAAATCGATCCAAACTGGCACCAATAACGTTCTATGAATCAGGATGTTTTGGATTTGAGTCACCAAACCCAGTTTTGGAACAGAGTAAGCAGTACATGATACAATAGTTTGATCATCCTAAAAAGAATATACAAAAGAATTAAAAGGAGAAATAACATTAACGATTGTATATCCTTGCGTAAGAACTATCTAGCTAGTCTCTGTTTCTGCAGCATCTGTACCACAGAATGAGAAAACAAAGCACTCTATAACCAATTATGAAACCAAACATCACAGCTAAATTGCTCCACTTTTGTGTCTCCCTTAAACCCTGTTGTCTTAAGAATCCATCCCCAAATAGATTGCATCCATCTTTGTCAATTTGTATGCACCTTCTTCTCTGCTCGCCTCCATACTCATTTATTATAAAACACTCAAAAGGGTACTTGAAAAGACTTGAGTAGTGCATGAAAATCCAGTAACTTGGTATGCTATCCTTCGATATGAAGTACCCAGAAAAGAGAAAGAAAGATCCCATGAGCCCTGAAATCAATGAAGTTCCCATGATGAAGTTTGGCACGAGAGCACTGAAACAAGCCACAACAGAATTGGACATCAGAAGAACCATCCAGACCACCAGAGAGAAGTAGAGAAATCCATCAATGTTCCTCCTTAATCCAACCAACCAGTAAACTGGAGTGGAATATAGAAGACCAACCATGAAAAGAAAAGGAAGAAATATGAGGGTGTTTGCTATAACATAGGAGGAAACTCTATAAGCTCCTTTGGAAGTCTCACTCATTAGAATTCTTCTCTCTTGTAAGAAAATTGGTAAGCCTTCTGTTGTGGAAGATAGCAAGAAAGTGAGGCTGAAGGCAAAAAATCCAGTTTGGGTTTGTAAGGCAATGCTCCCTTTTTCCCTGCCAACATTTAAGAAAATGGTCCCAAGTACCAACCCAGCTACCAAGGCTTGTATGACTCTTGTGACAAACAGTTGCTTGGTTCTAAATATGTTGCTGCAAAATCTTTGTCCTAGTATAACAACTTCCTCGAGTCGAGAATTAGGGTAGATTAGAAGCTTTCCTTCCAAATTGTGAGAGCATACAAGCCTTTCTTGCAAAGGGAAAGGATGGATGTTCAAGGTTTCTGAAGTTGGTGTACCATCCAAGCTGCCGATAACATCAATGGCGAATTCGAGTAGATTAACATGGTTGGGGATGCAATGGCCAGCAGAATTGAGTCTTCGTTGGAGAAGATGCAATGATCCATTATGCATGACAGTGCCATTGGAAAGCAGAATAATGCGGTCGAATATCTCTAGGATTCGAAAACCAGGTTGGTGAATGGTCAGAACAATAGTCTTGCCTTGATTGACAACCATAGTTTTGAGCAAGGACACTACATGGAAAGCTGAGGCAGAATCCAGCCCTGAAGTTGGTTCATCAATCAAAATCACACCTGGATCATGAACTAAATCAACTCCAATTGAAACTCTGCGCCTTTCCCCACCCGAAATGCCATTATTGGATCCCCAACCAATTCTTGAAGCTGCAACATGCTCCAACCCAAGCTCCTTCATCAGCTGTCTCACTTTAGATGCAGCCTCTTTTCTCCCACCATGAAGCCTTAGCAGAGCACTAAACATGAGTGTTTCTTCAACTGTAAGTAATGGGAATAGGGCATCATCTTGTGTGACATATCCCGATATTCTCCGAAAACTTTTGGTGTCCATAGGCTGATCATTAACCAGCACTTGACCACAAACTTTCTTTGGAGATATCTTCCCAGCAAGAATCTCTAGCAGTGTGGTTTTTCCAGCCCCACTAGGACCAGCAATTGCAGTGATCTCTACAGGCCTTGCTTCACAGTTTACATCCTTCAAAATGAAACTTGGAACCCTCCTTGAAGTAGCACAACACACAAACTTCATTTCATCAAATTGGGTACATAATTTGTAGCCCAGATTTCTTGTTTCAATTCTGTAGGGTGTTGTTATCTGGCCACCAGAAACCGGCATTGTCACCGGCAATTCCATGGAGCAGAAGAGTGAAAGGGGAGAGAGAAATGGGTTATTTTGTGGGCTTGTGTGAGGAAATGGAAGAGATGAGCTAACACACCAAATTGGGTGTTGCTGCACAAGTTAAGCTCAGAGAAGAAGCCAGCTTTGATATTTTTGTGATGCATGGGGGGCTTAGGTAGTTTGAGATAACATGTATTTGACTTGGTGTTGCTCTCTTTTTTTCTATGTTCTTGTTGGCAAACATAACTTCCGATGGGGTTTGGAGAGTTGGAGGAGGGCTTAAAGAAAACCAAAGAAAGAAAGTACATAATTCACTTTGGGAAGTTTTTTCAGGTAAGCTGATTATTGACTGTGTAGGGTTGGTGTTGGTTGCTCGGCAGTTTGGTGGGAAATTTGCTAATTTGACCAATTCGGCAATTACAACAATAGTGCCAACTTTGGTTTTCTGGGCCTTTGCCAAACTACCATAAGAAGATCAAGCTTGTGCACTTTCTACTATTAGCTAACTGCTATCTATCTCATGCTTATTGGAAGACAACGAAAATTCCATTAAGAAAAATAATTTAGGGAATTTTTTTTTCTAATAAAATTATACAAATTTCAACTCTCTAATGTAACATTAGATTTCCCAACAAATTAAAAAAAAGAAAATTAAAACAAATAAAACATAAGTGAATTAATCATGAGTTTTTCTATTTAAACCCCACACTTTTCTTTGTTCATCCCATATTCTAAGTTCACCCCAACTTGTAATTCAAATTTTCACAATTTCTAAGAAAACCCCATTATCTTCCCAAATTACCCCTAAATACACACCCATAAAACAAAATAAAAATAAAAAACTCATCAACCTCTAAAGTTAGATGACCTTTTTTGTCTTTTTATACAATAATAAAAATTAAGAGCTTAATGATTTAAATATTGGGGTGAGCACAAAAAAAGTGAGGGGTTTAATTAGAAAAACTCTTAATCATCTATGGCAACTTGCCAGGAGATAGTAATTTGATATGAAATGGTTAATGATTTTGCAATGATCTCAATTAGCTATGAAATGGTTGATAATTTTGCAATTTGATAGAATTACTGCTAGAATCTTGAGAAGACTTATCAAATAAAAGTTCGTGTTGCAGGTATGGGAACACCATGAGAGGGGGCAGCTGGTGGAGTTAGTAGACACAGCATTGAATGGAATATTCAATGTTGAGGAGGCTTGCAGATTCCTAAAGATTGGCCTACTCTGCACTTATGACATGCCCAAGCTCCGACGATCCATGTCTACTGTTGTTGAGATGCTGACAGGTGAAAGAGATGTGAATGAGGAGAAGATATCCAAACCAGTACTGCTTTCTGAATTCATGGATCAAGACAGAAGGCCATAGAGATAAGGCCAACGCAAGACCTTCATCTTACACGGTATCTGCCTCAGGGAGGTTCATCAATACATCATCTTCATCAGAAAACATAACCGCTTCATTTGCTACTTTGACCTTCAATTCTGTATACGACCGAAACAATCAGGGCAGACAGAATCTCTTTTTGGTTATTGTCTGGTTTGATTGATCATCCTAAAAAGAATATACAAAAGAATTTAAAGGAGAAATAACATTAACAATTGTATATCCTTGTGTAAGAACTATCTAGCCGGTTTCTGTTTTTGCAGCATTTGCACCACAGAATGAGAAAACAAAGCACTCTATAACCCTCTTGTCTTAAGAATCCATCCCCAAATAGATTGCATCCATCTTTGTCAATCTGTATGCACCTTCTTCCCTGCACGCCTCCACACTCATTTATCATAAAACACTCAAAAGGGTACTTAGTACCAACCCAGCTACCAAGACTTGTATGACTTTGTGACAAACAGTTGCTTGGTTCTAAATATGTTGCTGCAAAATCTTTTTCCTAGTATAACAACTTCCTCAAGTTGAGAATTCGGGTAGATTAGAAGCTTTTCTTCCAAATTGTGTGAGCATACAAGCCTTTCTTGTAAAGGGAAAGGATGGCTGTTCAAGGCTTCTGAAGTTTGTGTACCATCCAAGCTACCGGTAACATCAATGGCGAGTTTGAGCAGATTAACATGGTTGGGAATGCAATGGCCAGCGGAATTGAGCATTTGTTGGAGAAGATGCAATGATCCATTATGCATGACTGTCCCATTGGAAAACAGAATAATTTAGGATTGGAAAACCAGGTTGGTGAATGGTCAGAACAAGTCTTGCCTTGATACATGGAAAGCTGAGGCAGAATCCAGCCCTGAAGTTGGTTCATCAATCAAAATCACAGCTGGATCATGAAATAAATCAACTCCAATTGAAACTCTGCGCCTTTCCCCACCCGAAATGCCATTGTTTGATTTTCAACCAATTCTTGAAGCTGCAACAAGCTCCAGCCCAAAGCTCCTTCATCAGTTGTCTCACTTTAGATGCAGTGCAGCCTCTTTTCTCCCACCAGGAAGCCTTAGCAGAGCACTAATCATCTTTGTTTCTTCTAATTAAAAAAAGAAGAAGAAGATATATATAAAGAATTAAAAATAATAATTTCATTTTATTTTCTTCTAATAAAAAAAAAAAAAATTTCAACCCTCATGCAACATTAGATTCCACAACAAATGATAAAAAATACACCTTAAGTGAACTAATTTGAGAAAGGAAAAAAGTTCGCTTCTTAGAGCATCTCCAATCGATATGTTAAATTGTCACATGGACATGAAATGACAAAAATTAAAGATTAAAATTGCTTCAACCGAGTAGTCAAATCCTATATGGATTTGAAAGTTGCAAAAGATGTCAAAAATAACATATCAATGTTACTTGGTGCCTTAATGACAGGGCTTCGAAACTCGTTGGAAGCACTTTGTGGTTAGGGGCAAGCCAAACTCGAGCAGAAATTAATCCTACCTAACAAATTTAATATTTTGCATTTGATCCTTCTCAATTTTAATGAGCCAAGTCAATATGCCAGTAAAAAACCAAAATTTACATCAAAATAAAATAATTTTTATATTAGTAATTGATTAAATTAGAAATAAAACGATAAGAAGAGACATTTCGAAAATCAAATGCCGTCTGATCTGCTGAAAATGAAGAGGTATTTAAGAACCACAGTCACTCAGTACACTGCTATTATAAAACCTCCGCAAAAACCCTAACACCCTTATCTCCTACTCTCGCTCTAGGGTTTATCTCAGAGCCCCAAACCTCTTCGCGATCAACCATGGCGACCCATTTCTTCTCTCGCTCTCTTCCCAAAACGCTAGCCATGAGCTCCTTCCTCTCTCGCTCTCTATCCACGGCCACCTCCGCTGCTTTCCTATCCACCGCCCAATCTCGCTCTTCTCTCTCTCTGTTCCACCGCCTTCGTCCCCTCGCTGGATTCGTCGCCTCCGCCGGTAAGCCCTCTCCTGCGTCCGTCCGGTGCTTTTCGACCAACTCGACGACGTCGTCGCTTAGAGATCCAAACCCTAACTGGTCGAACCGGCCTCCCAAGGAGACGATACTCCTCGATGGGTGTGACTTTGAGCACTGGCTGGTTGTCATGGATCCGCCTGAGGGTGATATCACCAGGGATGAGATCATCGATAGCTACATCAAGACCCTAGCTGCGGTCGTCGGAAGGTAATTGCGATTGTTTAATTTTTTTTTAATTGATCATTTTTATTTGTTAAATGTTTGTTTGGATTATGAGAAATTGATGGGACGGAAATGAAATGAAGTTTATATATTTTCTGCTAATTTTTTGTTTTTTTAGAAATTACCAGCAGATAATATACATATGCATGTCTTTGTTTGTGGTAAACAATATCTTTTAATTTAAAGAATATAACTTTTATTTTATAATCACTTCTTAATTCTGTATTGGGGTTAATGTTTGGGTTAGGTTGATTTCTGTTGAATAGTGGAACTTTTGGCTGTTCCTTCTGTCATCTGATTTTATTTTGTTTTCTCAAATTATCTTTGTTGTGCTAGAAATTTGATTTATATTAGAGCATTCTTTTTGCAAAGGTATTATTGCTGTTCCTTCTGTCATCTGATTTTATTTTGTTTTCTCAAATTATCTTTGTTGTGCTAGAAATTTGATTTATATTAGAGCATTCTTTTTGCAAAGGTATTATTGACTTAATTTCTTCGTATAGCATTTCACTAAGGCATAGTTTAGGCCTATGTAGATTAGCTTTCTGCAGCTTTCTATAGATTAGCTTTTGGTAGTTTCTATTGCTCTTTGTCATTGGTCCTAGGGCCCTATGGCTCTCTTAGCCACGTTTCTTTCTTGTATCCTTCTTGTCTTTGGCAGTATATTATCCTTTCTTTTCAAAAAAATGTTTCACTAAAGTTATATTGTTCGTCTATATTAGCTGCGTAGTATGGGATTACAAATCTTGGTGATTGGCATTGTGGTTGGTAGCTCTCCAGAAAAGAAAAACTCCCAACTCCTTCTGGGGCCTTTAGTCTTTAAAATCGGACCTGTAATAACTCTATATCATGGGCATAATGATCTGATGTATATAGCATGGTTTTGATCACTTTTACATACTAAATTTTAGATAGATTGATATCTTTGACGTTTCAACAAGTACCTGCAATGGTATCATATACATCAATTATTAATGTTGCCTGAAATTTATACTTTGTACTAACTACCACACGAAACCAACTATGGTATAAAAGATATGATCACTCTCTAATGTAGTTCACATTGCTTGTATTAATTGATTGATGCATTTGTTTGTGTCTCAACTACAGTGAGGAAGAAGCAAGGATGAAGATCTACTCAGTTTCAACTAGGTGCTATTATGCATTTGGGGCACTTGTGTCTGAAGAGACTTCGTACAAAATCAAAGGTACTTCTGCTTCTATTGCTTGGGCTTTTGGTTGTTTTTTTTTGTTTTTTTTAAGTGTGTCCGGGTTCTCATTTCTGTATTATTCCAGAATTGCCTAAAGTGCGGTGGGTACTTCCTGATTCTTACTTGGATGTTAAGAACAAAGATTATGGAGGTAAGAATATTCTCATTTCTTCCAATTGCAGTGAAAAAGTTAAAGTGTTTGTAGCATTTGAATCAATTAAGTTATAAACTTATAAGTACGATTGCTTAATCTGTTGGGGCAGTCATTGCCATGGTTTTAATTCTTTTTCTACTTTTTTTCTCCTGGGAAATGATATTGTGGGGTAATTAGCTAACTGGAGTTATGATTTGGACTTAGGCATCTGCTATTTTGGGGATCTCTTAGTTGGGTCAGGTCTCTAAAGCCTGTTTGATTTTTATTTCTAATTCTGTGTAGTTGCTTCTGGGGTGCATTGCCCTCCCCACCTCGATGATGAAAATTTTCCTCTTAGGCAGTCAATGTTAGCCTTGGAAGTTCGCATAATTGCTTTTTGAATGCTGTGTATGATAGTAGTTGCCTTTTTAATACTGATATTATAGTAATCTTAAACTGCCATTCTGTTGTACATTGTCTACCTGTTTATTCATTTCTTTTCAATTAGTTTTTCGGCAATAAAATATTCATTTATACATGATTGTCTGCTTTCTTGTTATTTTTTGTTTTGGCAGGAGAACCTTTTATTAATGGTGAAGCAGTACCATATGATCCCAAATACCATGAGGAATGGATAAGAAACAATAGCCGAGCAAACGAGAGAAACAGACGCAATGACAGACCTCGAAATTATGACAGATCAAGGAACTTTGATAGGAGGAGGGAAAATATGCAGAACCGAGATTTTCAGAACAGGGGTCAGCCTCCTATGCCTAATCAAGCTGGGCAAAATCCTGGGCCTAACATGCCTGGACCTGCCAACAACATGAGGACTCCCAACAATATGGGCCCCCCGCCCCCCAATGCGGGACCAATGCCTCCCCACAACAACATGGGTCCAAACTACAGTAATGTGCAGCAGCCAAACAACTGGAGTGGTGGGCAGCCCAACAACAATAGCAATCAGATGCCTCATAATTATAATCAGATGCCGCCGCCACCACCTAACTACAATCAGATGCCCCCCAACAACATGGGAGGTGTGCCACCAAACAACATGAGAGGGATGCCACCAAACAACATGGGAGGAGTGCCCCCACCACCAAATAACATGGGAGGTCCACCGCCTAATGCAGGATGGGGGAGTCCTGGGCAATACCAAGATAACTACACACCAGGCAGGGACAATGGAGGCATCCCCGGTACAAACCGTTACTGAGCTTGAGGCTACGTCACCATGAGTCTTGTAGGCATGCTGTAGATAAGCAAGGAGGCTGCTCGAGATGGGCTGTAGGTTTTTTATGTCACCGGTGTGGAATGATATTTTGTTTGGCTTATTGCTGGGTGCGAACCTGGTTGCCTTTTTATCTGAATATGATTACACTTTCAGGGTCGAATCTGATTGGATTAATCGTATCTTTGCTTTGCTACTTGGTACTAGTCATGTCATGTCATGTAATGCACATATTTGCAGAAAGCAGAAGACTGTTTAATGAAACCACTATGATAGGGCAATGCTCTCTTATTTTTCATAGATTAGTCATCCTCCTAATCAATTGAACAATCTAAACAAAACCCAAAAAGCAATTATATGTATAATTTTTTCTCTAGGTGCTTGCGCTTGTGCTTGGCTTAGTAACTTAAATACAGGAACAATGGTGAATACAACCCAATTCACTTTATCATTAGTTCATTCATCCCAGTCAACAATACAAACAAAACCCACAACAAATAAATTAGTCTCTCTCAGTCTCAGTGCTTCTGCTTGCGGCTTGCTTTAGTAACTTAAAGACAAGAACAAGCGATCAGAACCCATTTCAGTTCATCACCAACTCATCCAATTTCACATGCCAGTCAAACCCAAATTAAGAGCGATTATTTAGAAGCAAGATTATTTAGAAGTAAGGTTAGTGAAAAATATTCATCCGATGTGCATCTTTTTAGTGTTTTTTGCTGTGATTTCTCACTGATTATTTTTGGGAAGCTCTCCAAGTTGAAATTTCTGGCCCTTGATTTCAATAATTTACAAGGTTCTTTGCCCTCATCTTTGATGAATTTCACAAACCTTGTAGAACTACACTTGGGATCCAATCCAACAACTTGGAAGGAGATATCTGCGTGCTTGATTTTTCCAGACTTGGTCAATAACTTTACTTGTACGTTTCCAATAAGCATTTACTCATGTAGGTCCCTGAAAGCAATTCAATTGACTTCAAGTCATCTAGGGGGGCAAATACAACCTCAGATTCTTTCACATCAAGTCATCTAGGGGGGCAATTCAATTGACTTCAAGTCATAACTGCATCGCTTTCAAGCTAACTAGAAGAAAATCAAAAAATTAGATGCAACTTTCACAGAACTGCCTTTTAGCTTGCAGCTTGCTCGAAATGCGACATCTGCATGCCAACATCCAAACACTGGTCTCCTAGAATTATTCTCCACAACTCAACACAATACACTTGTTCCTGGTGGGGCTCATTTTATAGCTATCAATATATTTAGCAAGTAGTTGTTAAGTTGTGCCCGCTCAGAGGGTTCAACATTATTGCTCTACCAAGAAACTTTATTATAGTAGTTGCCTTCTTGTTGGGCAAACAACTTGGAATAAATGACTATCCTCCAATTTTGAATTTTCTTAGAAGAATCATCAACAAGAAAACAACTTTGAACTTGGACTTTAAGTGACTAACATGGAAGATGTGCTCGCTGGTATCAGTTATCAGCTGCCTTAAAAATAACGTCAATGTATAATGTCGGATCAGGCTTGACTGGCACTGTCACTCTCAGGCCATATCAATCTGGCAAGAAAAATAACACCATATATCTTCCAAAGTCCTTGAAAAATTGTCATTTTTTTGAAAGAAAACACCAATGAGGGAAAGCACACGTCAAACATTGGGTGGTTGGCTGTATTTATATCAATACCAGTTTCAAATTACAAGCTGTTCCTAATTCTGTGGAGATAAGATACTCAAACGACAAAGATGAGTTCTTAGAAGAATCATCAACAAGAAAAACAACTTTGAACTTGGACTTTGAGTGATTAACAGGGAACATGAGCTGGTATCAGTTATCAGTTGCCTTAAAAATAAGGGCTTGTCCAATATAGATCCCTACATTTTCTATTTCCTAGACATATACCCATCACTCTATAAATCTATCATTGCCACCAAACTTCATATTTTATTTATAATTTATTTCAAGCATTTCATTAACTGTCATAATTGTAATTAATATACTCCCTATTAATAGCATATCAATCACCCCATTTCTTTTAGTTGTCATTCCCTCTCACATCTCGCCCCCTAAAATTACAACAACAAAAAAAAATCTGTAAATTACATATCCAATAATGTAACATATAAAAATATATATATATAAATATATACATATAAATATATTATTTATATAAAAAAAAAAAAAAAAAAAAAAAAAAAAACAGTTACTTTGTAATTGCATATATTTTTCATAATTAAAAATAGGTACACAATAATTTATATAAAATATAGGTACATTATTTACCCACAGGTAAATTATTTTACAATATACCTGTAAATGTGTATAGGTACATTATTTGGAATAGATAATTATGTACACTTTTCATACTAGGTAAATTATGTTTTTCATAAAACAAACAAGTAATAGGTACATTATTTTTTCAACATAATTAGTATGTACAGTTTTATTCATAAACAATTATAAAGTGGATTATTAGTCATGTATAATTCATAAAAAGAAAATAACATAAACATTTTATTAAACAAACCGATTAACTAAATTTGAATTTATTGTTAAATTTTTTTAAAAATGTTCTAAAATTAATTCCTACATCCATTACAACCATTTGGAGATCTTTCCAAATTCAACATCTGTCATTATATACAATCCAATTAAAAACTGTTTCCATATTGATTCCTACATTAATATACAAAATGCAATAATGGCTTAGTTGGGGGTATTTTTGGAATCTGAAAAGTACAATAAATCAGATTTTATGCTTAATTAGGTAACTTGCTGAGTTGGATCCTAGTCATGGGTTTTTACTTATACAAATTGGGTATTATTTATAGGAACAAAAAGTGAAGGGTTTTAGGTACGGCAAATTGAATTTGAAGGGTGTATCCCAAATTTACTATAAAAATAAGAGAAAAACATATTCCAGTTTGAATTCAACAAGGATTCTGTTTGTCACATATATCACGGTCAAGTCCTCTCCTGGTGGACCAAGGGTTTCAATATCAATAATTTGCATTCTGTGGTTGTTGTTCGCCGACTTCTCAATTTGCAGTGATGTTTGCATCCTTTTGAAGCATGTTTGCTCTTATATATAAAAATATACATGTGAGCAACGGCACATACACAAAGCAACATGCTAGTGCAAGCTTATAACCTAATGGCTCATGCCTTCCTTCTCTTCCTCTTATTCCCTTACATTATATCCACAAATATTCATGACTGCAAACAAACTGAATGCAGCTCCCTTCAGTCCTTTGCCTCAACTCTCTCTTCTCCTCCTTCAAATTGGACATCCATTGATTGCTGTCATTGGAAGGGCATCACTTGTGATCAAGATGGTTGGGTCATCCGTTTGCTCTTGCCTTCCAAAGGGCTCAAAGGAGGTATCTGTCCCTCTTCACTTGCAAATCTCACGCATCTCACTCACTTGAACCTTTCCCACAATTCACTATATGGTTCACTTGAAACTCAGTTCTTCTTGTCTTTGAATCGGCTTGATATCCTCGATTTGAGCTATAACCGTCTTTCTGGAGAGCTACCAATTTCTCTACTATCTAGCAATATCCAGACAATTGATTTGTCCAGTAATCACTTCTTTGGTGCAATTCCATCTTCATTCTTCCAACAAGCAAGCAACTTAACTAGTTTCAATGTCAGCAACAATAGCTTCACAGGGTATGTCCCATCCTCTATTTGTCTCCAACATTCTTCTCCCTTCCTTAGGCTATTGGATTTTTCTTCCAATCTATTTAATGGCGACCTTGCTCCTGGGTTAGGGAAGT